TTAACTTATCAGAATTATTACCTGTTATTTTAGCTTCAAATAATTAACATAGAAATAATTTCTGATTGATATAGCATAAATCATAAAATGCAAAATTGAAAAATATTATTTTTAATTTTCAAAAAGTTTCCGAAATAACTATTATAATTATATTAATTTTATTCAAAATAAAAACTTCATTTTCTTTTTTTTTTTTTTTTTTGGAATATTTTTGAATCAAATATAATTCTTTTGTAGGCTTATCATGTATCAAAGCAATGTTGTCCAAATTATCGTACTGTAAAACAACGTAAACAATATGGTACACCTGATAAAATAGCAAATTTAATGAATCAGACAAATTATCATAATATTGTCAAACGTTTTATTGATATTTCAAATGAATCATTATTAATTTTTAACGAAACTGATGCTAATTTTTTTTGCAACAATGAACGTTTGAAGACAATTATGCTAGCCGTAAGTTATCTTTCTTTTTTATCATTCGTTATCAGAAAACATTTTTCATTTCTTTAACTTGTTTTATTTATCATTTTAAAATGACACAGCTTATTTTGTTTAATATGAAATAATGCATATATTTATGTAAATTTTACGATAACTTAAAGAAAAAAAAGAAAAATTATATTTTTAGTTAGTCAAAATCTTATATTAAATGAAAAAGCTTAACGTAAAATTGATGCAAAATTTGCTATAAATGATTAGCATTAATTATTTTTTCCTTTTCATATAAATTCATCAACTTTTTATTATACCAAAAACAAAGCCATAAATGATCGAAGAGATTATTAATTTAATTATAATTGAAAAAAAAATGTTTGGGATTAGTTTAAAGGATTAGATTTTAAATTGAATTAGATTAGATTTTAGATTACATTAAATTAATTTGAAGTAATAAAAATTAAGTATTAGCTGAAATTTTGTATAGAATATGGTAATAGCATAGGATGTAAATAAAAAAAAAAAAATGAATGTAAACTAATATATACCATTGTTGTTATCGTTAAATGATAAAAATGAAAATTATTTTCAACAAATAATATTCAGTATGGTTAGCTTAAGACTTATTAAATTATCGTTCTTTTTTTTTTAAAGTTAATATTACTGTATTTTAATATTACTGTACTAGTTAGTATTACTGCATTTAATATTACTGTATTTGTTTTTTTTTGGAAAATTTAAAATAATACCAAACAATGATTGGAGAAAATTTTCCAGAATATGGATTATAATCCGATTATAGCTAAAGAATTGATTGAAAAAGCATTACAAGATGAATTTGATGCAGATTTTAATGTTATATGCTCCACAGATACATTCGCATTTATCACTTATACGGATACATTTTGTGAAGTATATGATGAGATGGTTGTTTGTTATGCATTTAAAACATGATAATTAATTATTAATTAATTATCACTTATAACAGATGGATTTTTTCCTTTGATAAATTTATTTGTTTATTTTTGTTTTTCCTTTTTATGAATTTATTTGATTTTTTTTTTTTTTTTTGATAAAATTGTTAAAAATGCTATATGTTAGCGGAAATTCTACAATGTATTATTCAAATAATTGAATTTTATTTAAAATTTAAAAATTTTGATAATAAATTTTATAATATTATGAAGCAATAAGGTTTATGTATTTGAACATATTGAAATATTGCATAATTTTAAATTTACATTTTCTCCTATTCATATTTACTATGCAAAAATTTAAAAAAAAAAAGATTGTCAATTTATATTTCGCTTAAATTTAAAAA